CAAGTATTTTACTATGTTCTTCCACATCTTTTGCATGTATCAAAAAAAATCGTCCATATATATAATCAAACCTTGAATGTCCCCAAATAGCCTCACCATTTCTGCATGAAATATTTCAGGTGCAGCATTTATGCCAAAAGGCAGACGTAAAAACTTGTAACGACCGAACGGAGTTATAAACGTACATAACTTCGAAGACTCCTCATTTAATGGGATCATCCAAAAGCCCGAACTGGCATCTAATGTGCTAAATATTCGAGACCCAAACACTTTAGACTTGCATTCCTCCACCGTAGGCAACGTAAAACGCGGTATTACTATTGCTTTATTTAAATTTTTAGGATCTAGACATATACGTAAATTGCCATTTGGTTTGGTCACAATCACAATAGAGCTAACCCATTCTGTTGTGCCTTCTACCGGCTCTATAACGTTAAGGTCCATCATTCGTTTCAGTTCTCGTTTTAAAGGTTCATACAAACTAAATGGAATTCTACGCGATGCGTCAACGGTTGGGATACTACCTTCTTTCAGTTGTAAACCACACTTTCTTTTTAATATACCCAACCCACTAAACATTTCAGCGTACTTTTCCAACAAATCTTCACTCTTTATTTCATTAACCATCTTTATAAGCTCTAAGTCTTTTGCTGTAGGTAAACCTATGACATTTTTGCAACTCATTTTTAGTATGTAAAATATCGCCTCAAAAGTCTTGTTTGCATACTTAAATTTAAGGTTGGTTGTACCAACTACTTCCAGTTTTTCACCACTGAAAGTTCTAATTGAACTCTTTACATTGTAATTTATTTGCGCTTTTAGCAAATCTGCTGTTGCTTTCGAGATCAAATTCACTTGTGCCCCTGTATCGACCTGACATCTTAACTCTACTTTACTTATGTATATATTTATGTACCATACATCTTTACTTTTGTACGTATCCGCCTGCCCAGGGTTGCCACTTTGGTAAATTGTTACCAAAATTGGTGGAAAAAATATGGGTTGGTAAAAAGGTAAATTTTTTCTCATTTAGGTAGATTTTTGATGAACTTTCCGTTCCCGATTTATTTTTCGTAGTTATCTTTAAATATATTATAAATTTGCATACTTTTTATATAATTACATACCTATAAATGTATATCGATATAAGGCGAACATATCGCGCTCCATTCAAAACTAATTTTACTGGAATCCCGAGGAGCTTTCCATTGCCTAAATATTTTAAATGATTATTTAAATATAAAGACAAAAATGACAGGTATGTAATTACGCACTATGATTGTTCGCAAAAAAAAAAATAAATCAACGCCATTTTTTTTAATGGAAAAAAGTAAAAAAAATCAACGGGAATTTTAAGCAGCACATTGTTGGCTATACTCAAATAGTATTTGCTTTAAAACTCCATACCTTAAATTGTTCTAAAAATTCAGATTAAAAAAAAATCGAAAGTTAGACGAAAATTTTTGGAATTTTTTTTTCTATATTTTGAATCCTCGATTTTTTTTGGATTTAGTTAAAGCAATAAAAAATTTGTACTCGAAAAATATTGCGAATATTAAAAAAAAAATACTTTTTTGAGTCACAGTATTTGTCTATAATAACTCGAGTTGAAGTTTTTCAAATAATGAAGTTTCATTGTTGCCTTTATTTTCATCACTCCCGCTTTTGGTTGAAGGAAACTGAGAATATGCCAATAATATGGCTCAAATACCGTATAACTAGTCAAATAAAAAGTTCTTAAAAACAATTTTAATTCTTATTGAAATAACTAAAAAAAAATAAAAAAAACTGTAGTTTTAATTAAAATAAATAAAAAATAACAAAACTATGGTTTTTGTTAAAATAACTATAAAAAAGTTATTGGTAGATATTTCCCAGATTTGGTAGATTTTTTTCAAGTGGATGGTAAAAATTTTTTTGCGTCAGTGGCAACCCTGCGCCTGCCGCTCGCTGATTTCGCCAACAAATAACGAGCTTTCTTCTTCGCCTTCATCCGCCTCATACATACACATCTGCTTCCCTGAATTGTCCTCGGCTCTGCCTGCTACTTTTTCGACCGCTCTCACATATACACGGGAATTTCCACCGCCGTTAGGTTTTTTTCGCATATAACACATTTTAGCATAGTGGTTGAGTTTACCGCAATTATGGCACTTTACCCCTTCTGCTGGGCATTTGTATTTATGCCACGTTCCACATTTGGTACAAGTAACGGCCTGCACTTTTGTTTGTTGTTGTTGCGTAACTGCGTGGTAAGTAAAAAGTGAATCTCATGCTTACTTACTAACATGCATACATAGGGTTGCCAACTACTTACACAACAACGTTATCTATAAATTTAGTAAAGTTGACAACCCCATTGTTGACAATTTACGGTCTCTCATCTGATTTGACATTTGTTTCACCTGACTACTGACATTTGTGGATGAGTAATTTTTTGTTTTTTATTGGTGTTTTTTATTTAGATTTTGTCACCTTTTCAGAGGCACACGAAAAAA